TATGTTATCCACCGTACAATACCACTGAAAAAGTGTCGGTAAAGATCAACATCATATGGCCGGATCAAAGTGATGCAAAGGTATGCATTAAAGAACTCTGTCGACTGTGGCGCATAAGAGTATCAGGTACATTTTTGGCGTGATGATGGATGTGAAAGAAAAGATGGATTGGGTGCATTATGCTTTCAATGAATACAAGAAAGCACAGAAGAAGTTTGTTTCTTAGGATATTCGTTAATTTTAATGTTGTTATGTATTTACTCATGTCGAGTTGTCATGCTCCTTACAGACATTGGTTGAAATTGTTTTTCGATTCATTTCACTATTTTTGTTTCTCTTTCTACATATGTCCATGTCTTAAATATTTTGCACTTAAAATGGGCCCCCATACCGATGTTCATTATTGTAGCCATATTTGTTGCATGTTTTACTTGTCAAGCTTTATTTGACTAGTCCTGGGTTTGAATAATTAATTCTCAATGGAAGCCCTTACATTCGTCTATAAATTGGAAGTCTAGTTGCAACAAATGTATATACAATTACTACACAAATATTGCACCATACCATTCGAGGTTCTAACTACCAGCCAATCTTACTATTGTTGTAATTCTTTTGGAAAAGGAGCATCATCTTGCAATGAAGGACTTGGACTTCGATTGCCTCTTTTTTTGGGGTTGAATTCTGTAGACGAAATCGACGAGGACTATTTGACAGAGCTAACAAAGGATATAACGGAATGGCAACGATATTGCTAATTAGCAAAATGCGACATGAGGAACTATTATCATGAACAACACCGACAGATTGAGAGATATCCTTTCGCTAGGAATGAACACACGTTTACATTAGTGACCATTCAAGGTAATGGCCAACTCTGCTACTAGGAATTTCAAATGTACCTAGCAATGTTGAGACATTTTGTACATATTTTTCGTGACGTGTACAAACTTAAGAGTGGCCAGCAGGTTGATGTGTACAAGCAAGTAGGTATGTTTTTGTGTATATTAGCTCATGGAAAATGGTACAAGCATGTACAGATGTCAGGGGTGGGCATGGGCTGAGTTAGGTTTTTACTCAACCCAAACCTAACCCAACCTGATTACGCATTGAAACCCAACCCAACCCAATCAAGTTCGGTCGGGTTGGATTGGGCAATTTGAAGTTTAACTTTTGTCCCGATCCACAATGAAGACAGGAAAATAGAGACCGCCACCTGTTAAGATTTACAAGTACCATATAAATGGTCCTGATTCTGGACATAAAAGTCTCGTGACTTTTTGAACAAAAGCAAGAAAAGTTATTTTTAGTACTTGTATGAAATTGGCATCCAAATTTTAAATACAAACAATTAGATCCTCAATTTTATAATACAATAGTAGACGGTTCGGGTCAGTTTCTATTTGGCAGGCCACATTTTGGATTGAGTCGAGGCTTGAGATGAGGAAGAAATATTTCTTATTATGTTATTTTTCATTATAAATGAAGATTTTTTTATTATTATTATTCAAAATATTTTTCATCTAACCCGACCTATATTGAACGAAACAGCCCCCACTGACCACGACATTTATTCACCAACGACAAAGAATCAACAGGAAAAAAGCCATTACCTATCTACCTTGGCGACAATCGAGGGCAACTCAAGTCTCCAAGAGCCAGGAGCAAGGGTTGCGGTCTAATTTCAAGTGGGTGGAAACGGTATAGGTGCTGGACTGATGAGTGTCGACGATTTGATGAGAGACGATGATGTTAGAAAATTCAAATTAGATCCAAATATCCTAGATCAAAATAACTTAAATCCTAGGATCAACATCATGCCAAATTACTAGCATTTATAAATTTGGATTATATACATGTATCCATTATGAACGATTGTCTACTGTTGCAGAATTACTGCGACAATCAACCACGTACTTATGAATCCAAATGAAGAGAGTGGTTTTGTGATTTTCTTCAACCAAATCGCCTTATTCCTCAATGGGACCGTGATTTCTCTTCTTGATTGGGAGAAGGGAAAAAATATGTGATTTGGTATATTGGGGACCATAACCGAAATAACCTTTATATACTGCTTAATTAAGGTCCCCATTATCCCTCAATTAGAGCAATATTGACCGGTATCCACTCAATTAGCCCACATTAATTTGAGAAGTCTATGGGCATACCAAAATAGACTACTTGATTTTGCCCATTATATTAAATAGCTAATATAATTGTATTAATATGTTGCCATATTAAGTTAGAAAAATCGTGTTTTCCTAACAATCTCCCACTTGGCTACATATTATTCCTTAAACAATTATATTACAAATTTCGTAGGCGCGCATTTGTATGTTATTTATCCTTAGACCGCTCCTTAAACAATCTTGTCCATCTCATATATTAATAACGGAACCACCACAACTTTCATCACAATATATTTGTGATTAAACCACGATGATCACCATATTAATACACTTAATGACATAGATCAAATATGGATGAGTAGCATGGAAATTTACATGAAATGTGATCTCAAAAGATGCCTATTTTCAACTGGTCTTTCTTTAGTCTTTAGTGAGATCATTCCAAAGTCCTTAATGCAATGCAAACATTGCACAATGAAAATACAAGTAAACTCAGAAATAGAATTTTATACTGCAGAAGGTTAAATAATTCAATGTTTAAAGCAAACATATAGAACATGAAATTGACTCCCACTAGACCAGAATATCCTCGGAAATAACGCACATGTGAGCAGTGTGCTCATGAAAGACCTTAGGCGTTAAGCCCTTGGTTTGTGGGTCTGCTAGCATGGAATTTATTCCTATATGTTCTATGAAAATCTATTTATCTTAAACTCTCTCCTTAAAAACTAGAAACTTGATATCAATAAATTTCGACTTTGTCAAACTCCTATTGTTGTAGGAGTAAAGCACCGCTGAGTTATTTTCACAATAAATCTTTAATGGCCTGTCAATGCCATCTATCACTCGTAGTCTAGTGACAAAGTTTTGTATCCATATTCCATGGTTGGATGCCTCATAACAAGCAATGAATTCCGCAGCCATGGTTGAAGAAGCTATGAGAGTCTGTTTAGCAGATTTCCATGAGATAGCTTCTCCAGCCAACATAAAGACGTAGCCTGATGTGGAACGTCTGCTATCTTGACATCCTGCAAAATTAGAGTCAAAGAACCCGATGATCTCTAAACTGTCTGATCTCCGATAAGTGAGCATGTAGTCTTTTGTTCTCCTCAAATAACGTATCATGCGTTTGGCTGCTTTCCAATGTTGCATGCCAGGATCATTCAAGTATCTACCCAAAACTCCCACTATAAATGCTATGTCAGGACGAGTACAAATTAGAGCGTACATTAGACTCTCTACCACTGAAGCATAGGGAATCTTCTGCATCTCTTCTCTTTCAAGATCATTATTGGGGCACTGTTTTAGACTAAACTTATCTCTCTTAGATATGGGCGTGTCTCCTGGTCTACTATCTTTCATGCCGAATATACTCAAAATCTTATCCATATAGCTCTTTTGTGACAGTCTAAGGATATCTCGAGAACGATCTCTCAGTATTTGAATACCCAATACAAAAGAGGAATCCCAAGATCTTTCATCTCGAATTTCTTCGTCAAAAATTTCTTGGTTTCATGCAGTAAGCCTATATTGCTGCTAGCGAGTAGAATATCATCAACATATAATACCAAGAAGATATATTTACTCCCACTGAACTTATGATATACACAGTCATCAACAACATTTGCCTCAAAACGGTACGAGGTAATGATTTGATGAAACTTGTGATACCATTGACGGGAAGCTTGTTTGAGACCGCTGATGAATTTCTTCAACTTACAAACCATAGACTTTGGATCTCCTGATACAAAGTTTTCTGGTTGTACCATGTAAATTATCTCATCAATGTCTCCATTGAGAAAGGCAATCTTGACATCCATCCGATGTAGCTCTAGATCAAAATGAGCCACTAGTGTCATTATTGTTCTAAAAGAGTCTTTCGAAGATACCGGAGAGAGTCTCTTTGTAGTTTATGCCTTCTTTTTGAGTAAAGCCTTTAGCGACTAGACGAACTTTATATCTCTCGACATTGCCTCTTGAATCTCTTTTGGTTTTAAATATCCACTTACAACCAATGTGTTTCACACCTTTAGGCAACTCGACGAGATCCCAAACGTCATTGTCTTTCATAGACTTTATCTCATCTTTCGTGGCATCAATCCACTTCTGAGAGTTAGAACTGCGCATAGCCTGATGGAAGTTGATCGGGTCATCCTCCGTTAAACCAACGCCATCCTCATGTTATTGAAGAAAGATGATATAATCATTTGGAATCGCATTTCTTCTCTCCCTTGTAGATCTTCTTAATAGTACTTCTTGAGGTTGTTGAGTTTGTTCTATAGGTGGTGCTTGAAGAAGAATCTCATTGTTGTCTTGGTCTAAAACAATGTCAGGGATAGGAGCCTGAACATTGTCATCTATTGCCAGAACCGTGTCTTGAACAACAATAAGTACAGAGACCTGATTGCTGTCAATAACATATTCTTCTTCAAAGACAACGTTCCTTATGTTTCCTTCCCCTCCAAACTCAATATCTTTAGGGAATCTCGCATTTCCCGTTTCAAAGAATGATCTTGATGTGGGATCGTAAAACTTATAGCCCCGAGAGCGTTCAGCGTAACCAACGAAATAGCAGCTAACCGTCATTGAGTCCAGTTTTCTTTCATGTGGTCTATAAGGCCGTGCCTCAGCTGGACAACCCCAAATGTGCAAGTGCTTAATGCTAGGCTTCTTGCCTATCCATAGCTCATAGGGTTTTTTGGCAACTACCTTGCTTGGTACCCTGTTAAGGATGTAAACTGCAGTCTTCAAAGCTTCTCCCCAAAGTGACTCTGGCGAGGAGGAATGACTCATCATACTCCTTACCATATCCTTAAGAGTTTGGTTTCGTCGCTCTGCAACACCATTCATGCTGGGTTTGCCCGGCATGGTGTATTACGGAACAGTGCCACACTCATTGAGGAAAATAGCGAAGGGTCCTGGACGTTGTTCTCCTGATCCATCATACCTTCCATAGTATTCACCACCACGATTAGATTTGATAGCCTTTATTTTCTTTCCAAGTTGAAGTTCAACTTCAGCTTTGAAAGACTTGAAAACATCCAGGGATTGAGACTTCTCGTGTATTAAATATAGGAAACCGAATCTAGAGTAATCGTTTATGAATGTAATGAAGTATTGTTGTCCATTCCAAGAAGTCGTAGGGAATGGGCCACAGATATCAGTATGTATCAGTTCTAAGACGTCTGTAGCTCTCTCGGCACCTAATTTTCTCATGTTTGTTCTTTTTCCCTTGATGCACTCAACACAAACATGGAAGTTTGTTAAATCTAGGGGTTCAAGAATTCCATCCGACACAAGCCTCTGAATTCTCTACTTAGAGATATGACCTAAACGCTCTTGCCATAAAGTGGCAGAATTCTCACTTAATTTTCATTTTGTACCATTGAACTTGTTTGCAGTATTTCGTTATAGGAATTAACTAACAATATCAAGTATATACATATTATCAATCATATAACTGGAACCAAAAAAATTTGAATTTTGATAAAGACTAACTTTATTATTTCCAAATGAACAAGAAAATCCTGATTTGTCCAAACCAGAAATAGAAATTAAATTCCGTCTAAAGGACGGTGCAACAAATGTCTCAAACAAATCCAAATAAAACCCAGTTTTTAATTGTAATCTGAAAGTCCTTATAGCCTCTACCGCAACTTTATTGCCATCGCCCACAAAGAGAAATCTTTCTTAATCACTTGGTGGTCGGCTCCACAGGCAATCCTGCATGGACATACTTATGTGAGTAGTAGCACCAGAATCTATCCACCAAGTATCCTTAGGTACAGAAGCTAAATTAACTTCAGAACAAACTAATGTTAGAAGCATACCATTCTTTACACGCCAGGCAGCGTACTTGAGACACTCCTTCTTCATGTGTCCCGACTTCTTGCAGAAGTAGCAGGTAAACTCCTTATCCTGCTTCTTTTGCTTCTTCTGCTGAGAAGTTCCTTCCACAGCATCCTTTGCTCTCTTCTTTTTCTTGTTCTGAGAGGTTGAGGCCAAGTGAGCACTCTCAGTCTTATCACGCTGCTGCCTCTCTTCTTCTTGCACAGAGTAAGATATAAGCTCATTTAGGGACCATTTGTCCTTCTGAGTGTTATAACTCACTTTGAATTGCCCAAAGTACGCAGGAAGAGAGATCAAAATCAAGTGCACGAGCAAGTCATCAGACAGTTCCAACTTAAGCGACTTGAGTTTTGATGCAAGATGAGACATCTCCATGATGTACTCCCTTATGTTCCCTTTGCCCTTATACTTTATGGAAACGAGTTTAGCCAAAAGGTTACTTGCCTCCAATTTTTCGTTCTTGGCAAAGTATTGCTCACTTTCTTCAAGGAACTTCTTGGCACTTCCGCTCTCAGAATAGAGCCCCGAAACGCTTCCGAAATGGAACGTTTCATGATCATCAAGCACATTCGGTCAGAGCGATCCCACCTTTCAATTTTACCCTTGTTGGGGTTTTCCAGAGTAGAAATGGGTCGATCCGAACGAAGTACAAGATCCAAATCCATACAGCCAACGACAATTTCCACAGCTTCTTTCCAAAACTTAAAGTTTGTCCCGTTCAGCATTGGGATGTTGTTGACTTGAGCAGAGACGTTCGCAGCATTAACAACAGAAACTGTATAGAGAACAAAATAAACAACCATGTCAAATAAGAAAATTAAGACATTCACAAATAATCCAGATTTTGGGATCCATCTCAAGATACCTAGTACAACATTAATTCCTAGTCTTTGGACAGAGAAATTAACTGTAAGTGGTACTCTTGGTGCAATAATCAAACATTGACAATCAAAATTGTCAAATAATAGCCTTTCTTTGGACCGACTATTATTCACATGAAATGTCTTTATAATTCTCACACATTTATCATCGCAAGCACGTTTTTATTTAGCCAAACTGTGTCTTCCTTTGGGCTGAGCACAATTCGCATTAATAACTCCATACAAACATCTATGTATTTTCAATTAAATCAATCTACACAACAGGGGTTACTTTGGAAACATGTTACTTTAATCAATTCAATTGAATATACTAGACATCCAAAGGAATAATCAAAACCAAAGTTTTGAATTTATTTTAAACCGTAAAAAATTGGATTCAAAAATGGTCAAACAACCTAAATCCAATTCCTTCTGCCAATGATTGTTTCCAATTCCTTCATCATCGTAAAAAAGGTAATTTTTTTTAATTAATTTGACAGCACATGTTCTGTATCCATTATTGAATCCAATAAAATAAATGAAAGGTCAAACAAAGTGGCCGATCCAAAATCCAAATGATAATCAGCCAAAAAATCTAAGATAGGCAGAATCTGGATCCACAATGAAAAGTGATGGATTATTACAAATTTACACGCCAAAAAATTATGTTGCCATACCAAAAAAAAAAAAAACACTACTGCACACATCATATACTATTCAGTATTCAACATTGAATCCATCATCAGAGACAATGGTAAAAAATTGCGGCTGAATCCTTTATACAATCAAGATGCTATATCCATTATGCAATTGTAAAAGACAAGTTATGTCCTCAATCCATTAAAGTCAAAAATTGTGGCTGTAGCCAAAAAGCAGTTGAAATTCCGAATCTATATCCATTAAGAGAAAGATCCAAAATGGTAGATGCCTAAAAGGCAGATGAAATTCTGCTCCCAAAAAATTTAAAACGGACAGGGACTGAATCTGAAAAATAATACTTTAATTGTGCCAAAAAATTTTGAAATCCAATTCTGCCCGAATGCATCAACCAACAATTATTGAATCAAATTCTGATATGAAGATCAACCTCAATTATTCTTAAACTTAATAATTCATGGAATTTCACAAAATACAAATTATTCTATTCGAAAATAAATCCAAACATCATACGAATAGAACATGCACAAATCCTAATAATCTAGCAAATGATGACCACTCTTATACCACTTGTTAGAAAATTCAAATTAAATCCAAATATCCTAGATCAAAATAACTTAAATCCTAGGATCAACATCATACCAAATTACTAGGATTTATAAATTCGGATTATATACATGTATCCATTATGAACGATTGTCTACTGTTGCAGAATTACTGCAACAATCGACCATGTACTTATGAATCCAAATGAAGAGAGTGGTTTTGTGATCTTCCTCAACCGAATCGCCTTATTCCTTAATAGGGCTGTGATTTCTCTTCTTGATTGGGAGAAGGGAAAAAGTGTGTGATTTGGTATACTGGGGACCATAACTGAAATAACCTTTATAAACTGCTTAATTAAGGTTCCCATTATCCCTCAATTAGAGCAATATTGGCCGGTATCCACTCAATTAGCCCACATTAATTTGAGAAGTCTATGGGCATACCAAAATAGACCACTTGATTTTGCCCATTATATTAAATAACTAATATAATTATATTAATAGGTTGCCATATTAAGTTAGGAAAATCGTGTTTTCCTAACAGGTGAGACTTGAGAGTTGAGAAACGACATCGGCAGGTCGGCGAGAGAGTTAGAGAGTTGGAAACTTGGAATAAGGTTTAGGGTAGTGTTTAAAAACTCGTGTCTGCCGATTTGATTTTTTTTTTTTTTTAATGTAAGTGGGTTGGGTTAGGTTAGGTTAGGTTAGGTTCACTCGGTTTCATAGGGTCAACCCATGAACTGACCCAACCCAACCCGCCTTTTAAACCCAAAACCCGAACCCAATTAAAAAATCTCAAAAATTGACCCAAACCGGTTAGTTTGGGTCGGTTTAGGCGGTTTAGGTTTTGCCCATCCCTAACAGACGTTATTTAATCATTCATAGAAGACGGTATGCCACTACTTCAAAGAGCTTCTTCGTGCTGTTGTCGCGCTCTCTGTACGAATAATAAAATAGGACCTGAACTACGACGGTACAGAGCATCACATTCCTGATCGAAGAAAGCATCCATTATTCTATAATTGCATGGGTGCTATTGATGGAAAGCAAGTTAGAGCAGTATAGGCTCGCCACAAATGAGTCAAATTCAGAGGACGCAAACGAATACTGAAGAGAATGTACTTGTAGCCTGTTATTTTAATTTATAACATAATTGTATGGGCAAGCAACACTAAAAATTATCACGACACCCGCTTTTAGCCCGTGCGATTCACATCTTGGATATTCCTTTTCCATTATCAGCTCATGGAAAGTTTTATCTAGTGGACAATGATTTTGCGCATCGACCTAGATATATGGCACAATACAAGGGGTCAGATATATTGTACCATTTTAAACAATTTCGGGGCGAAGCAGCAAGTCACGTACGAAGATTTTAAAATGCTTGTGAGAGGTTCAATTCCAAGCACTCATCATGCAGAAATGTAAATCGAACATGCATTTGGTACATGGAAACAAGATGGAAGATACTTGACTATATGCCAAGCTATTCATTTTTAACGAAAGTTGCGGTTGTCGTGGCAATAATGGGTGTACACAACTTCCTTCAACAAGCTGGAGTTGTTGACAAGACATTTATAAGGATGGAGACAGACCCAAGCACTTCATAGGTAGAGCTACTGAACGAGGATGATGAAGTTGCAGCCGAAATGAATGCAACTGAACTACTGTAGAGTGAGTGGGGACCGGCTTCATGATTAGACGGCGCAACAGAAGTAAAAACATGATAGGCGTGGAATGCTCGTGGATATGCTGTGATCGCTCAAATTTTCTTACCATTGATGTGGATTTATGTTACGCTTTTTTGGTTGCACATTAAAAACCATAAAAATATTCTATGTTCATATTTTTTTCTTCACAAAAGAAGACATGAAATACATAGAAAGAAACAAAAAAGAAAAAATGCAAATTGGGTACACGCCAAAAAAAAAAAAAAAAAAAACACCTTTAAAAACCTTCTATCTCTCATGCCATTATTGTGACGTTAATTAGTATTAATAAATGAAAAACAACAAATATTTTATACTTGCAAATATGAATGACCAAACAGGTGATAGAAAAAGCAATTGGAATAGAGCTGAAAATGTGTTTGGAAAACTCAAGCGTGATGTAATTGTAGGAGAAGATAAGCATGAATGGGTAGGTGCAAAAAGGAGAGGGGAGGGTAGGGTAGGGTAGGGATGTCAAACGGGCCGAGCAGCTCGTTGGCTCAGCAAAATTCAGCTCGTGGGCGGCTCGAGCTTGTCAAATGACAAGCTCGAGCCGAGCAGGGGCTTAATTCCATGAGCCATTTTGACAAGCCCACAAACCGAGCTCGTGGATTCATAAAAAATTATGAATTTTTTTTTTAAAAAAGGTCTAAAATGTGAAAATTTACCAAAAAAATTAAAAAAAATCATGTGCTCGTAAGCGGCTCGTCGACTAGTCTCGGCTCGGCCCGGGAGCTCATGTCTCTTGAGCTCGAGCTCGTAGGCTGAGTTGAGCTCGAGGTCGACTCATCTTTCACGAGCCACGAGCTCGAGCCAAGCTCGTGAGTTAAAGGGCCGAGCCCATCCCTAGGGGAGGGTAGAAGTGGACAATGAAAAGGAAAAATTTGCAATCGTGTGCAATAGATGGCTAAAAGGTGGGCCTTAATAGACTGTGCCTGTTCCTATGCAACGATCTATTTTCTTCTAAAAACGAGAAGGAAATGGGCTTCAAATATGGGCTAAATATTCAATAATTACATTTTCGAAAAGAACAATATACAGTATTTACGGCTCACAATTGAATTCATACAAATTGCACGCTAACTTCTTCATCCAGTTTGTATCCAGGATTGTTAATTCCATCAACCTTATATGTTATACTAAAAAATTTAGCCCCCCGTTTGGCCCCCATTAAATTTTATTTTTTTCTCTTCTATTTTCAACCACACAATCTTTCATAAAATAATATTACATGTAAATCGAAAACTTTTCCTTCCTTTTCAACCACTCATTAAAAAAAACACTATTCCACCAATTTTCATTTTCCAAAAATGGAGGCCAAACGAGGGCTTAATATACTTGATTGCGAATATGCTATGATCGTCCCTGCAATTAAATAATAATATATTAGTTCAATAACATATAACTAAAACTAAGTTTTCAAACTAAAAAAATTATAAATAGTTAGGATTTTGACTGTCTCGTTGTCGTTGTGTCCTATACGATCGCTAGTCTATCCTTAATAATCACCTTCGCATGTCTAGTCATCAAAGGAATGATCATAGCCACCAGCTCCAGTATATGCTAGAGCTAACCCTGTATCATACAAGTATGATTGGAGTTGTACACCTATATAGTGGAATCAACAGTGACAATCTTCATAGAAAAGTAATGATATGCGAACAACCCGCTCATTGTTTTCCTAGACACTCGACCACATCCTTATAACTCACTCGAGCATATATTTAGGCACACCGTACTCATTCTCTATAAGTTATTTAATTTAATAAACAACAAATTAAGTATACATTATAAGTAACAATTGCGATATTACACTTACATGTTGATGAGCCATGTTGCCAAAGTCATAATATCCTAAATTCACTTATAAACATCCGGTATCGTCCTTTGAGCTAGCGTATAGCTAGCTCTAAAAAAGAAAAAAGAAATGCTAAAAGAAGCATAAATGAGTTAGCATACTTTACTCAAATAATAAAATATTTACTTGAGCATAATTCTTCTCCACTCCTTTTCAAACACTTTTTACTTGTCA